TCTGAAAATATTGGTTTCAGCTTAGTTTTCCTAAATATTTAAACACAGATTTCGTTGAGTTTCAATATTTTCATAATAGGTTCAAGTTCTAGACTGATTATTTTTTGCAGGATTTCAACTCCTGGCTTTTATCCCCGAAACTTCTTATAAATATTATAAAAAAAATATATTTATTATTTAGGTATTACGTTCATGCCGTTCAACCTCAAAGGGTTGACGATATAGGCCTACACAGAGTAGGGGAGTAGAGGATGACATTTTCAAAATAGTAATAATATTATTATTTTAGGGGGAGGGAATTTAACTTTGTCTAGTCCACTATTCTAGCTTGAGCTGGAACTGGATACGTTCTATACTTATATGTTATATATGTTAAATACTTTAAATTATATAATTTTTATAAAACTTGTTAATAAGACAATCAACTCAACCAAAGCATACTAAAAATAAATTTTTTTTAAATCAATGTTTTACTCGCAATACGCAGAATCTAAAATAAATTATTTTATATTATACTATAAGTATTAGTATTAGTAGTAGAGGATAATTGAATTAATTTTTGCCATAAATATTTCAATCCTTTCTCTTATGAAAGTCTTAAAACATTGAACATTATTATCGTACGTAGGTACTTAATCAATAATATTAAATTAAAACAATAAAATAGAATATCTCTAGTTGTATATGTAAGGTCTTAAACAGGAAATAAAAACCAACATCTCTATAAATCAATACACGATTTAATGACTGGTTTAAGAAATGTTACACAATTTGTCACTATACCTACGTTCTACTCATTAAAAGTCTAATAATAGTTATTATAACACTTTGTAGGAGAAAATCAATTGTTTAACTTATCATTAGGTTCCTATATATTGTTACTTGTTATTTAATAATAATATACACATTGTAGTATTATACTTTTTGAAATACATTATAATGTGTCTACATTTTGGTTGTTTAAAACTAAAAAAAAAGTGATCAAGGACAAAATTAGTTATTTGCGAATAATTCAATAATATCCACGTGAGGAATTAATATTTTTCAATAGTTAACGTCCCCCTGGAAGAGTGAATATTTACAACAATAAGGTACCTATTTGATTTGAAAAAAATAACAACACCATATCTAAATAATACAGTAAACATTATAATATATTATGTTACAAAATATCTTATAACATTAAATTTTTGATATAAAATGTATAACATTTTTAAGGTAGGTAAGGAATATCTATCATACATATATGTACATAATATTTTCAAAAGTGCACACGATAATGCATTATACATTTATATAACTTATGTACATTTAACCAATCATAATGATATAATATTTGTGCTATATACATAAACTATTTCATTAGTTTAGAAGTTCTTGGTCATCGCATTTGTCGACGAACACGGCTGAAGTCCTAGAAGCAATATCAGCATACTCTCTAGGACCCTGGCTGCACAACTTAGTATCCACTTGGATGCCTCTTTTACTAAAGATAAAACAATAATTATACATATTTAAATGGCAATCATGGATTCTATTATTATTATATTATATTATATTATATTATTATATTCTTACAATAGCAGTTAAAAAATAAAAGAAATATATTTCACAATTTTTTTTTTTACAAGCATTCAAAGTTTGAATTTTGACAATATACCTACGTATAAATCATGAAAATTCGCAAATTATTTTAAGCTAGAAATTCATAAAAATTTGTCTTTTTAAATCTAAGATTTGAAAATTTTTAATAATATATAATATATCCTTGACAGATATTTCCGCTCAGAATCGTTTTTCGAATACAATGATATAATATCATTGGATTCAAATTTAATTCCATCCATTACAGTAACCCACTTGTAACCTACTGTACAGCAGAGCGACATCCACGACTTACCCGCTTTTTTTATATCATCAATTTATATTAATATTGTTATGGAGACATATCTATTAATTTTACTCAATTGTTACTTCATCAATTTATATTAATATTATATTAATAATATATTAATATTAATATATATTTACAATGTATTTGTAATATTTTCAGTTTTAGTATTCATATATTGTTATTTGTTATAGCTATTACTATAGTCGTGTATACTATGGGTGTACAATTCTATTTTTTGTAAATTATTGTACAGTATAGAAAAATTATGATTACACGCCTATATTATAATACCTTGGTACCTATTTATTTTAGTTTTTATATTTTATTAATGTAGCTACATGAAATCATTGTTTTAATTATTTAGGTTATTAAAAAATATGAAACATCTAGATAGTTAATTAAAAACCAGCTTTAACTAAAAAAGAATTAAAGCTCAATGGGCAGTGACTACCTATTTAATATTAATTTATCATGTTTATTTGTTCCGGAAAACTAAAATCTTGAACAAGTGTTACTTGGCTTATTCAATAGATCGCGACACGCATTTTGTACATTGTACGAAATTTAGCTAAGGTAGGATCTATTCTAAAAGAAAATAGCAACAATTAATATTAACTCCTATCAATAAAATAGTGTTGCACAAAACTACAGTATGTTATTTAAGGTCATTGAAATAATTCGAATTTTTATGGATTATTATTTAAAATGTAGTAAATTGTATTCATGGATTCAGCTGTAGACCGTGGTATATTCTACCTATAAAATAACCGATTACATCAATTTTTTTGCACCAACCATGACTCTACGAGATGATTTAATTTCAATGTAATTATATTGACAATGGAATAAAAAAAAAAAAAATACTATCTTCATGGTATTATCATTACCTATTTAATTGGCAGTGATTTTTACATGTAGTTATATACATTTTATATATTTATAAATATATAATATATATCCTAAAATGTGCTTATAACTTTATATAATCATGAATATTAATTTTAAGATCGTCATACCCTCTGTTTCCGTCATCTTCGGCCTCTGTGACACCGATACTAGACACGTACAGATGGTCGTTGCACCAAAAGAAACATATGGACCTGGGTTGTAGCACGTCCATGTCATACTCCCAGTAGAACTCTACTCGTTTCACTTGTCCTATGTCATCCGGATGGGTGACCACAAAGCTCCGGCTAGTACCGTGCTCCATACGTTCATAACCACTATGTCACCGAAAAGAGTATTCATTAATAACATTTGCGAATAACACTGTAAGTATATATTATACTGTGATCACAACAATAATATTGTCGTCTTACTTAGGGGTTAAATCTAGGTTTCTGATAACTCCGTTGTCACTATGTAACGACACTTTCATAAAACCTTGAACCCAGGACTCTGCCCTAGGTGGCTTGGCTAAATCTAACATGACCTTGTATTGTCGTCCTAAAAATTGAACATATTATTTTATCATTAATATAAAACATGTATAATAAGCACTTACAAATCATAAAATGTAATTCAAATAAATGTACGTATTTTGTAATGGCATTTAAGTGCCATAAAAAAAAAAAAAACAAAAAACAAAATCCTGTAAATAGTAATACTCTGCATGTTAATGATGATTTTCAAAAATGTAATTGTATTAATTGTAACGAAAATATATTAGGTACTTTTGCTAAGACGTACGTTTGATCATTATCAACAGTTCTAATTTATTACTACAGATTTAGAAATAAAAACACAATTTTAGTACTAGTGGGCACTAGGTATGAATTTTAATAAATATTATCCTCTTTAATATTAACTTATAATAATTATCAATTCATTTCAGGATCTAACTTTTAACTTTTATATTTAGAAGGTTACGCTTAATTGAATTTTAATGATGCATAATATTAACGTCAAGTTAGTATAATTGGTACCATAGCATAATACCTAGCAGCTGATATGTATCTATACCAATTTCTTATAATTTGGTTCTAACTAAAATCAATGCGTATATATATATACAATTTTTGATTTTTAGCAGAGCAACAATTGTATTTTATGCTTAAAATATATCATACTAAAATTTAAAAATAATTATTTTTGAGGTTTTATAAAACAGGTCGACGGTTAATATCTTAAAGAAACCAAAAGTGAAAAAAACGATGAAGATTACGATTACAATACTATTATCATTTTAATTAATTATAGTTGRGTATAAAAATTTAAAATAAACATCAGGTTTGATAAAAATTAAATATTCTCTTTGTGAATATACGTACTACAATATGGTGTATCTTTCCCAGTAGATATGAAATACTTGGAACCTGGGGCATGGTTTGGTCTTACTGTATTTAAGCCCATTATGGCACATCCTGTATCATTCTCTTTACATGAGAAGCATTTACCCTTAAACATTATTTAAATCAAATATAATCATAACGCGAATGCACATTAATTCCATTCAGAATTTAGTCGGTGTTAACCATTTCTTATGGGTAAAACACATTCTTAGTTCTTTAACCGATAAATAATTATGTAATGCCGATTGAGCATAAATCTTTTAACGTAATATGTACTTATTATAATAATATGTAAACATTACTGGCAAATTCCAAACATTATTGAGCACATTTCGTAACATAAAATATCATATCCAAAACAATCTATAAAAAATATGCAAATTACCGAATTACACCTCGATCGTGACGTAATAAAACATTTTTTTTTTATATTTATTTGAGAAGACTTATTCTGTACACAAATATTTTCTTAAAGTGCATAACATTGCAGTGACACAAAAATACGTCCAGTATTCTGTAGACTTTGTTTATTGTGTATTTATAAAATTTAATGAACGCGTTCAATATGTTTGGATAAAAATTAAACAAGCAGTTTTGTTCTAAAATGTATATATAAAATTATATGTAAACATTTTTTTTTTTATTACCTGTAAGAAGTTTTGATACGAGTTGCATTTGTGTGCGACGTACGGACATTTCGAATTTATAGACTCAATGAACAGTTTTATAGCTCTTACGTGATTACAAGCAACTAAAACACGACTTGCTTCTTCAATTCCCTCTTTGATGAGAGTTAACGGTAATGGAGTTTCTGTTAGATCACAACCAGGCTGTTCTTTACCATTGTTCGGATAAAAGTCTATGTGGCCACAAGGTTCACTCATCCCGTATCCTAAATAATTATATATATTAACGTTGAATGTATACTATAAAGTGTATTCTACTCAAGTTTATGGGAAATGCGAGTATCATAACTTGGTTGTTGAATTTAACTATTGAATTATAATATATTTAATACTAACTGCTTTATATCCACCAAATACAAAATTTAGGGTTAGAAAACTAAAGGATAAGACAAATGTATGTTAAAAAATAAATAATAATGAAGATAATGATTACAAGATTATTTGATTATGAAATTTTCATAATGAATATATATTCTTATTTCATGAAAAAACTTCTATATTTCCCTAGATATTATTATTTATAATTCTTAATAAATAGTCTGAACATGGTAATAATTCACCCATTTAAATAATTTAATAAGTTTTTCGTAATTATTTAAAAATTTAAAGCAATAGCAATATTGTTATCTTATGCTCATTGGTTTTTAATCTTAGATTTTTTTTATCTATTGGATATTTGTTCACAATACGGTAATAAACTCTTACCATCCACAATTTAAGAGAAATGATTCTATATTGTACTATAATATTATAGCAGACCAGATTTACCGTCAGGAAAGAGAATATTTTATGAAAAAAGTGTTCAAAAAAATATTGAATTTTTAGTTTTTGTCATGCCTGCACTGAAAGTTTAGTTTCTATGACGGTAGAAGCGTTTAAAAGCAACCTTTCTGTGTACAACGAGCGATAATTTGGGAATTCCCATAGTACCAGGAAATAAAATGGAAATCTCAAGAGTGCCAAGTGGTTAAGTGGAAACCCCAAAAAGTTCTGGATATATCCCCCGCACAACCAGATGATGGAAATCTTTGCCATGGCCCATGATCCTCACAAAACATAAACTTTTGGATACATCTTATATTCATAATATAGATAACCTTCTTGCACTACGTGTAGACATTTTTTATTTCTTCATGAAATTGTTTTCGTAGAATATTCTAGTTATACCATAAATATCTGGATAACCTTTGCGATCGATGAACGTATAGAGGGCTGGAGGCGTGACAAAAAAATGGTATGTACTATGTGTGGTTAGTGCAGGAAGGCTGCAGATGTGCACGTCGCCCGCGACTGAAAAAGTTCACTTCCACCACTTGTCACAATTATTCGTATAAAAAAAAACATTCTAATTGTTTGTATATAAAAGTAAAATATACAATTACAAAAATAATAAAATATTAATACATATTATAATATGTACATATGTATACAGTCGCAATCGCAGGAGTTTTCAATGGGGAGGAGTTTGAAAATTAATTACAATTTTATTTTTGTTTTTTTTAGTTAAATAATTGTTTTAAAACGTTTAGGTGAAATATTTTAAAATATTTGTACAGCTTTAAATTCCCAACTTTTCTAACAAAAAAAAATATTGGAGCATAAACTTCGGTGGTTTTGGAAGCAAAATGAATCTAGTTAGTTGTAGTTTTGATAATTTTTAGTACTTTTTTAAATAATCGGGGAAGGAGAAAATTTAATATGAGACAATTTGTTAAAATTGTTTAGTCACAATTAAACCGTCTTCGCTTAGATTATATTTGATTAATCTTAGTTTTTTTCCAAAAGAATTCCGATAAAAAAAATATTTATTCAGTCAAAATGCATAAAAATGTAATATAAGGGTTATATATTATGTGTTTCTCATGAGTTTTTATTATACCTAGGTCTTAGGTATTAGGTATTAAAAAATATTTACGATACATGATAATTTATTAAAAGCATTCAAAAGATAAAATTTTGACGGTAAAAAGTTAATTCGTAGTGAAAAAAATTTTAATATATAAAATATTCATGGTAATTGAATACAAGGTTTTTTATGCAAGTAGTCCATTCTTTTAGCAAACAATTACTGATCAATTTAGGGAAATTGGTATACAAATACAATGTTTTTGCAAAAATGAGTTTAACCTACTTGGTACGTATAATATGTATACTATGTATATTGTATATCTATTATTAGTTATTGGGCAATAGCTAATCCGGTAAGACGTACATTATAAATTTACGTTCTTGCTTAATAGTTGAGAACATTTGATACTTGATTAATATTTTTATAAAAAGTAATAATAATACTAGAAATTTGGGGAAATGAAGCCTGTAAGCCCCTCCCCTTGCTTACTCCACTGCTTACCTGTTTACTATTATTGCAGTGACGACGAGTAATCATCCAACTCAACGCGGATAACCGTATTTTAATGTTAGCTCAGCTCTATGCTTAATAAAAAAAATCATTTAATATGATGAAATTATATTTTCAATTAATTGTTTATTATCTACTCTATTTTTTTTAACACTTAACATAGAAATATTTACACCAACGTTTTTTTTTTATGGGTACTTAATTCGGTTATTGTGTCATATCGTCCTGAGTAAACTGCACAGGCATAAGCGCATGTACCTTAACATTTTAATATGATATACCACGATTAACCACAACAAGACAACATTTATTATAGTTGAGCCCTTCAACTCATGATTTTGAATACTTTATCTGATTGATATGTCGAATAACGTAAGAATAACCGAGATATTAAATAACTCATACATTGTGTTATTATATCATCTCACTGTGATAATCAAACACACAGTAACTAATAAGACGTAACATCAGACATCTCAACACATTTTCCAAAAACTCTCTACCTATAATATTATAATTATAATAGAGTCGTGTACTCGCAAACATTATTCCAAAGTGCACCTCACTTACCCAATAGAAATATGGAAGACCCGTCGGTGTGTATAACATCCACAAGTTGCGCATCGGAAGGATCCAATCTGGAGTGTGAAGGCATTCCTTGGAAATATGGTTCGGCAGGATCTAGTCCTGTAATTCGTCCTAACCCTTCGATCCGTTCTCCGGCGTACCCAGCAGTGTGAGCGCCCAGACTGTGTCCTATCAGATGAACATGTTTCGGATTTAACCCCACGTTATCCTAATACGTTTCAAATAGAAAAAAAAGAATTATAATAACACAAATAACGAACCAATAGTATAAGTGGCAATTATATTAAAAACAAAAGTTTTTTAATTTTTTTTTTTATTATTATTATTATTGTTGTTATTTTCCTTTAAATCTCCATTCCATTTTAAACTCCAACTCTGAACAAGTCATTATTATTATTATTTCTTTTATTCAGGAGGCTGACTTTATTATCTGAGTCTATTATTATTTGTTTATATAATTTATTATATCTTTAGCTATTAATTACTTAATTTTATTATTATTCTACTGTTTTCTTTTTTTTCTACTTATTATATTGATTGCGTATTGTAATTGTTGAGCTAAATTTAAAATAATAAGCTAAAAAAAAAATTGTTGTTATTACTAGGTATTCTTATGTTTTTATTTATTATTAAATAATGTTAATATACCTGCAACCATTTATTGACATTTCTTTTTTAGCACTTAGAGTATGCAAACACTTTTCGTTTATTAAATTAAAAATAATTCGAAGCGAACGAAATTGTGTGACGAGTCGGCACCATAAATTATGATAGCACAGTTAAAAAACTGTTTAAAACCTGATATAGCTTAATGCATGTTATATAACTAAAAAACATAAATAGTAGCTATCGCCGTAATAATATTATGCAATAAATTAAATAAGGAAAATTCAAAATTAAATATGAATTTCATTAAGTTTTGAATAATTGTGTGCCACTGACAATTTAAAAAATATAGATTTATATTGAAAAACTAATTCATTATATGTATTTTATTATAGTTTAGAGTCTCATACTTTTTATTTCAGAGTTTTAATTATCAATTTTATTGTCCGTCCATGATATCAGTTTCTTTAAAATATCTGTAATTGCTTATAAATAATTTCTTTACTTTATACAGTTGTTAATCTGCGATTAAACTCGATTAACGGTTAAATTAATATTTTGTAATAGTTAAATAATATACAACATTATGACGTATGTAATGATATAAGTATAAAACCTTTATAAATATATCACATGTTATATATTATTGTATACATGTAATAATTGAATTTTTTGATAATAATATTTGAGAGTTAATCTATATTTTATGTGTAAAAATCAGATAGGTGGATATAATAATTCCTTTTAAAATGCATACCAAAAAAAAAAATAGTAAATAAAAATAATTAGATTCGATTAACAAGTATCTAGGTATAGGTATGTGTACCATGCGGTAAATTAAGAACTACATTGTTTTTAAACAAGAACAAGACTAAGTAAGGTTCGAAATTATAATTGGATAGTAACGAGCAAGCTAAGATCCTGCAAACTTTTTTAATAGTAGGAGATTATTTATAAACTTGTAAGAATTAAATATAAACAACAATATCAATTTTTAATTTTCTAGTAGAATGCAAAACTAATATATTCAAACGTACCTACGTTACTAAAACAGCATGATATACCTAAAAATAGATTCAATAATGTATTACAAGTATATACAAACATTATAGTGAATAATAATAATAATATATTCAATTGTTTAAAAATAATAAGCTATAAAAGGTAATTTAGTTTTTTTAAATATTCTTATAATATATATATATATATATTCGTATAAAATAACATATCTATATTTTTTATATTATTTTTTATTACTGGTATGGCTACCAACAATATTATACGCGCATTTATTGATGTTGTTTTAATTCGTATAAATTCGTACTAAAACGAAATATCTTTCATTTCTGTTCAATTGATCCATTAATCTGTGCTTAATACTAATTCAACCTATTACATTACTTTTAAATAGTTGATGAAATAGGCGATTTCTAGTCCCACTAGCCTCGTGTTGGCTGTTGCCTGCGTGTATAAAGGCAACGATCCGCCAGCCCAGTCCACTACAATTACATTCCAATCAGAATGTTTCAGAAGTTCTCTCCTCATTTCCTATATAGACGAAACCAATGTAAATAGATAAATTAAAATAACGATCAATTGATATGGTTTTCACAAACAATTATTTAATTCAGTATTGTAAATCATTCTATGTTTTTGTATATTTATTGGGTTATCTCCGTATACAGGTAGTGTTATTGTAAAAATAAATTAATAAACGCCAAGAAGAAAGCTAAAGGACTTTTTTCAACAGCTGAATTTATTAATAAATTATAAACTTGAAATAATCGATTGATTTTATTATCTCAAGGACGAGCCATCGGTGTTATTAGTTCCATTTCGTAAGTATCTCTTTACCTTAAATAGGAATCGGAAATAATTTTAAATTATAACGATATAAAATCCGATTACAAAAACGGCCTCGTCTTCAAAAATAAACATAAACTAATTGCATTATGAATAAATCGAATAATTAAAAGTGATTTTATTGTCACTATTATTATTATATTATTTTAACTGTTACCTTGACCCAATTGCTCAGAGGCGTGTCTATAAAACCATGTATAATAAATTTTGTAGGTTTTTTGGGATCAAAATTGGATTTCTGTATTGTTTTCTCCGATTGTACTTTCAGCATTTGACCCTAAAAAAAAAAAAAAAAAACATAAATTGACATTTTAAGTTAAAATTTGTACGAAATTAGACATTTAAACAAAATATTCATCATGGGCACCTGAAACTTTTTAAGTATATTTATTATTATAACTTAGTTATATTAAAAGTTAACCGTCTTCGATTATGATTGTTTTAAAAAAATAATAATTTCATATTATTGAACACATCCATTACAATGAATTCTTTAGATACGAATAAATGTGCATATAGAGCGTTATCCAATTTACATTTTTTTATTTTAAATTTCAACTTAAAATTATATAAATATATATATATATAGTTACTTGTAATGGATTTTTTCTCGTGTACAATATAAATCGTGTGTCGATGACTTGTCTCGCTAATGGAAACACATTGAATGGCCGATATATAAGATGATACCAATCTCGGGTTATATTTAAACACCCTAGTTCGTCGTAACATCTTGTTTCGTTTTCAACTGAAAATTATAGTTAAATCATATTTTTTTTTTTTTTTATTTATCCCGCGACAACTAAGGCCATTGGGAAGGGGGTAGTACTGTAGGTTGGTTTTACACGTGGGTAAGGGTTTTTGGCAGAATTTCTATTGGGGCCCCCGTAGGTTTCTGTCATGCCCCGGAGTGGGGGATGGAGGCACTTGTACTCCGGACACCGTGACTTGCCCGGAGAAAAATGCCGCCCGATGGTCGAGGATCGAACCCGGTCCGGCTGGGCCACAGCCGACGCGGTAGTCCACTCGGCCACCTCGTCCCCCGAAATTATTTTATTATTGAATAAAGGAAATATGGTATCTAAAAATGAAATTTTAATATTATTTTATTGTAAAAAATTATAAATAATAAAAAAAAACCTAACATTGCCCATATTATATGATTGATTATAATTGTTCACATTTATTTATATATTATGATTAATTAGTATTATTTTAGCAAACCAATCTAACCTAAGTGTAATAATGATTGTTTGACTATAATAATTCAAATCAATTTTAAATATTTATCTAAAAATAATTCAGTAATTCAATTAGGTAATAATATCGTTTTAAATGTATTAAATAGATAATAACGAATGAAAGTTATAATACTATTTAACTATTCACTTTTCAAACGATTTTAATTTAAAAATTCACTTACGCTGAAGCCAGTGGCGCCAACCCCTATGTAAATGAAGGACAACTTACTGTCCTACATATAAAATTGGTGGTGACGGAGTGCAAATATTATATTATTATCCTGGAGAATATATTATTTTATAGTATTACAGAACAGTAGAATACAGAATCATTGATCAAACTTCAAATGTAAATTATTTATGTAAGTGATGTAATCGTTTTTTGTTATCGTGATGCGGATAGATAGTATAAGTATGGTATAGATCGCAAAAGCGGTCATCCCGAAAGTTATTTATAACTTCTAAATTTCTATTGCGAGTTGTGTCTATACAAATTTTTTTTGTTCCTGATATGGGGGGGGGNATAAAGAGGGGGGGGTTAAACACTAAATGTTTGTCCTATATATTTTTTTTTACTTCGGCGCCACTGGCTGAAGCTAAATATATTTGTTATTATTGTTTGTATTGAACAATATCAGCTGGCCTGTCTTTTACACAGTTAAGTTTATACCTAAATTATATATATAGTATTATATAACATTTGAATGTACATTTTATATAAAATTATATATTTTGTCATGTATTTTGAAGATTTTAATTTTCATAACATGTTATTTAGATTGTAAAATAATGGCTTGGATTAGCTAAGATCATTATTGGTACATGGGAAATAAATTATAGAAGACGTGCTTGAATGGTTGGTAATCGCAGTTTAAAAAAAAAATAAATATTTACAATCACTGCCATCATTAATAATTATTATTCATTTATATTGAACTCAAAAAATAATGTTAATTTAATCCTGAATTTCATTTAATATCTAAAATAGATTTTAAATCATGAAGGAAGGATGATGTATATAAATTATTGATGTATTTAGTTATGTACGTTGATTGTTGCAACATATTTCACAATATTTTGTTTATACACATTTTAAAATATGATAATTGTTTTATGTAGTGGTAAATAATTCAGGAATAAAGGCTATTACACTACGTAATGAATTCAGAACAATTTTGCATCTAAATTTCTACTTTAGCTACCCGAATAACTTATATTTAATTGAATGATAAATTTTCACGTATATACATACGCATTATCAATTAATAAAAAGAAACACAAATGTTGGGAAATGAGGTTTAAATTGTTTTCTTTGTATTTCAAATTTTGCTGATACTTTTTAGCATAATGCTTTATAAATCGTTTACATATACACAAATCATATTATAAACGTTACTGCTAATAAAAAAATCTCTAGTAAATAATATGAAAGTTCGAACCCATCATGTAAGAGTTTTATTTTTATTTTTACACGTTGATATAAATCATTAACATTTTTTGTTAACAGTATAACTGAAATAGTTACGCAGATGACGTGTTACCATGAATTACAGTTAAAATAATGTTCACTAAATAGGTAGTATTGGAACAGTAAGTACATCTAGAGTTATTGTTTTAGTACTTTTAGCGTAAAAAAATCTCAAACGTAGATTTTTAGACAATACATTTTAATTATTTATATGTTAATGACCTCAAAAAATATATTTCTTAGAAAAATAACCATTTTTTTAAGTATATTATTATTTGTAGATTATACGTATTTACAATTTAAACTTTAGTTTGTATTAAATTTATTTTTACAAATATACATCTTTGAGACATAGGTTACCAATAGTATTTTAGATTCGGAGTAAAGCTTCTATTGTATATACGAGTATTATATTGCCTATTGGTTTTTCAACGATATTTGTGAAAGTTCTTTTGTGTAGAAGTTTACTTAAAAAGTTTCATATACGATATTTTAATCAAATTTAGGTGATAGGAAGGTACTTTGAGAATATACCTAATTATATTTTCACTATTGTTTCGCTATGAATAAGAAAATAAAAACCTCGTACTACTGCAGTTCAATTATTAGCAAGCATAATTTCATCTCAGTTCAGCGTTCTTTTTTAAATACAATAATTTAGTATTGTTTTACAATTTAATATCTTGTAAAAAGATAACCAGAACGTCAAACGATGTGTTCTCTGTAACATTTAATATCCATATTTTTCGTTTAATAGAACAAATTTATATGTACTAATACCAAGATTTGTAAAAACTAAATTTTTCATACGTAGTTTTTATTGAATATGAAATGAAATGTCAATAGCTTGATGTTTTATAAACCAATTWCTTTCTTAGTTACCTATTATTTTTCGTATGTTATCATAACCATTTTACTTTAATGAGTTAAATACTTAAATGTGACAATAATAACCTAAAACAATTACAACCTATTAAAAATCAATTTGTGATTCTACTGCTGAGTTTTATAAAAATAGATTAATATTAATGGTTCACTAAAATTTAATATATCTACAAAATCGATAATCATGTGCTACTGAATAGTGATACTTGAAGGGAAAATGGCAATTACTCACTTTATTGATTCATTCAAATATAAGATCAACGATTGTTTATACTACCCAGTATTGTATGGTAATTAAAGATAATCTAAAAACTTACATGGTAACCAGGGTATGTTGACCTCTATGTGGTTGGATCGTCCCCATTCGAGAATGCCCGCTGCGCCTGACCGCACAAACGTCGCGAGCGTCGCTATGCACAAAGCCACATGACCTCGGACCATACCTCCTGGAGATGAAAAAAAAATTATAAACATGCTGATTTCTTATTAAGTACACGCAAATCGCATTAGGCATCCTGATAAGTACTAAGTAACTATTGTTGTCCCAAAGTCATAAAAAAATATTGATTTTCAGCGAATTATTCAAGGAATGTTATTCTGGTTATAGTTAAGTTGACCTACAGTTTGACTATTGAAAACAACACTATTCGATCGGATAAAATCTATCATCCTCTCATATATTTATCTAATATAATATAATATATGACTCGTAATGTCGTACAATAACTATTTTTTACTCAAATTTAATTACATCTTTCCTCCATAAAATGAGAAACAATGTAACTATTATCAGTATTTATCACTAATTGTAATACTGATCAGCGAACAGCGTTTACCAAATACCAATGTAATACTTTTATTAAATTTAAATTTAACTATAAGAATGCATAATACTGTTATTTTCTTTAGTTGATATATGTTGGCATGTTGCATTTAATATAAATATTTTATATTCAGATATTTGTATGACTTCTCGTTAGAGACATGTAGAAAATATTATTACTTTTTATTTTATTTTTTCTTAAACTAAAGCCGTAAGGAATATCTTAGATTCCCTACATTAATCTTCAAGTTATATTTAGAAAAATATACAAATTTGTGCATAAGTTATTCTTCAGTAAAATATTAAAAAATAATTTTTTATAAGTAAAATAAAAAMGAAATTCTCCGTTAATAATATTATAGAACAAACAAAGATTGATCATTGTATGTAATTTTAGATCAAGATTTATATACTTAAATGTTTAATTTTGAATAATGGCGTTTCCACTTTACACTATTCACAATCTTTAATAGCTAAACTTAAATATTTTCAAATAATTTATTAAAAAGTCGAAAGTTCTACATTGTATGAATTTAATCGTTGTATAACCAAAATAAAATGAAACAATATAATATATAGTTGTATAAAAACCTTAAATCAGTTATATTTTCTTACCATGAAAACAGCTTTAAAATACTCTAAATGTTAAATGTACCAATTATTTCAGGTTCATGTTTTTATTAATTGCATTAAATCGTATTAAATTAAATATTGTATTTCCATTATGATATATTATCAAGATATTAACAGATATATACATAAATGATTAAAACTTCGTAAAAATACCTAGTCATGAATGAAAAAAAGGTATAGTAGGTAGGTTGCACAAAAAATAAAATAGGTTTAATTAATAATAATATAAAGTAGAACATACTACTGCTTTTAAAAAATAATTATATTTTGGGAAGTATTTTAAAATCTAAACATAAATGAGAAAATTTACCTGGACTAAAATTGTATGAGCCAAAAACGATATTAATGTCACTATATGTGGTGGTTCAATGATGACTGATGAGTTATTTTATGTAATTTTATTGTCACTTAATCATATAGAGGTGCCTATTTATAAGCACAGCGCTTATTATATTTTAGTAAATCGTTTCGACATTGAGTGTCATATAAATCTACTAAATTCGGGCATACCAATATTAAAAATGTGAAAACTAAAATTAAATATTTAAATAGTACATTTTATATTATTTTTAACATATGTATTCTTAAAGTTGGTACTTATTTAACTAATTGGGGAAGACGGAAATATAGATAAATATCAATCGATATGTCTCTATGAATTGCAATTCCACTAAAAGCTTATAAGATATTCAAATTATTGTTCAATGAACATATTATTGAATCCAAAACTGTATTGTTTACCATTCTTTATTATAAATTACTAATTTATTGCTCAAACTAATTAAAATATTTTTTTTCAGTTTTTTTCGCATTCAATATTTAAAATCTTCAACAAATTTTAATTTATGATAAAAATATTTTAAAACTTTTGCGGATGATTCATTTTATACATATTATCTAATTCTCAATATTTTTCTCATATTAATGATTATTTAAACAAAAATCTTGTAATATTAGTATTTTACTAAGTTTATACAATTTTGGTTTTTATTACTAAAAGTATGATTTATTATTAGGCTACTCTGCCTATAAAATATTCAACAGTTAATATACTGAATGATGTTCCAAGCAAGCTTACTCCCGTTTTAAATTCTGAGCGAAGCGAGTAATGTATTGGTTTTACAATGATGTTTATTTCTTTTTCTTTTTTATTCTGTTAACACTTTTTCTCTCTCTAAACTTGAAACAGTATCAAGTATAGCATCTTTTCTGAAAGGTTATGTTCTTGAAACGGTTCTCGAAATAAAAGCGGTTAATGGAGAAAAAACTCAAAAAACGTACGATTTCACGATTTTATAATATTAAATAATTACGGACGACATTTTCAACCAAAAATATTGCTTCGAATGAAAAATTACAAGAGATCTTTTTGTTGTATTTTGTTTCTTACGGTTTAAAGTTCGGAAAATTTTAGCCATTTTTAAACTTTTTTTTTGTGTCTGTCATCACGTTTTGAGGCAGTAAAAGTGCTTCAATTTTCGACTTCAGTACCTCGTTCGATCAGAAACTGAATCTATTTGGTACTGCGAGGAGTCAAAAGCATTCCCAATATTTTTCTTAATAGTTGGGATAAACAAACTAAAAATTAAGGAAAAACCGGAATTTGTATGTACAATCAATTTCTGATAAGATCAATTTTGGTTTTTGACGTAACTTTAAAACAAATGACCATAGATACATGAAATTTTTCTTTTTAAATCTAAGGTTTGAAAATGTCTTTATTATTTATAAATTAATAAAATTCCTTATCTATTAATAAAAAAAAAAAAATGTCCACCGGAAATTCAAATATTTTAATAAGTAATAATAATCTCAAATATATCCTAGACAAATCAACCGTCTCCGCTCAGAATCGTTTTTCATATACAATGATATAATATCATTGGATTCAAATGTAATTCCATCCATTACAGTAAACCACTTGTAACCTACTGTACAGCAGAGTGACATCTACTTTCCCACTATTTTTTTAATACTCAATTTATCAAATTAAGATATTTAGAAATTTTAAGTATACTTAAATATCACATTTTTGAATTCTTGAAACTATCTGTGCTACTTAAAAAGTGTCACGAGGAAATTAAATTTTTTTTTTAAATAAAATATCCCTTTTCAATGTTAATTAATAAGTGGATATTTTTTTTGAAAATGTTGTTACATCTAGTTCAAACTTTAAATGAGTCACTAGTTTGTCAATTATTCTATATTTATAATAAGAATACCAGTTCTTAATTAGTCATTTAAACTTATTTGTATAACGATATTTATTTTTTCAAATTTCATGATGTCCTGACATAGTAGCACTCATTAAAAATGTATTCCTGACTAAAATATTATATGTCCTCATTTATTTAATGCATTTATTCATTTATGATTTTTCATATTAATCCAAATCTTTTTTTTGGTAATAATTTTTTATAAATTCATAAAAATATAGACAACTAATTGAATAACTCTGAAATGGAATAGTATAAAAATATACTTCTATATAAATTCTAACACTCGGTGCATTCCACTATATCATAAAATATTGTAAATTACGAGTATAGATCAAACAGATTATGAAGATATATATAATATGATTTTTGTTGTAATCTTAAAATATAGTACATACTATAAAACAATATAATACACAAAATATATTCTAATATTACAATATATTGAGGACCAAAGTATGAGTTTTACTTCTAGATAGCAAATAGTTCAATAGTTATTCAATTATTAAGTTTGAAAATGAGTAGTTTTTAAGTATTAGAAAATGGAAAAATATTCGTAAGTTAAACAACTATGGAAAATAATATGAATTAGTGTTATTACTATAGTGTATCAAATATAATATTATACTAGGTACCTACTTAATATTTTCATAATAGATTTAGTTTTTCCATTATTGAACTCACCGTCCAGACAGAACCTGGTCCCTGCTAAGCGTCATTCAGATAAAAATCTAGAACAAAAATTAAATAAGCAAATTAAAAATAATTTATATTCTAATATTTATATTATGTTGACATTTTAAAAGTCTATAGACTTTAAAATAAAATCAACCTTAAACCTATATTTTAAATTATATTCTATGTTCAATTGTACATAATTGTCAATTGATAATATGAAGGTATCAGGTACCGGTACTTAAATAATTTATCTATTATTAATGTTTACAATTTAAATCACAATGGATTGTAACTAATATGATAGCTAAAATTTGATTTCAATATCACTTACTTTTATCTACCTATACTTATTACTATTTATAGTAAACCTAACCTGATTTGCAAGGTAATTTGACACAAAATTAATGAACCATCTTATTTTAAATCAATTATCCCAAGTATTTCAAACATAATAACATATTTAAAATTTTTCAACTATGCTTATTTGTATTTATATAACCAATATTTATATTAGAGTACGTTGGTATCATTTTTTTAATGAATGGAATCTCCATTTAAAATGTATACATAATAATAATACAATATAAATTAGATTAAATTGAGGCATGAAAAGTGTACAACACCTTTTGTAAAATTAAGTCTATATTAGTTTCTATAATATACGGAAATTAAACACTTCTTTAAGTAAATATTTTATTTTATAATTAATTATTATTTATCACTAAATATACAAATGATACTGAAATTTAATTGTAAGTGTTACTAAAAATTCAATTTTATGTAACTGCGTAGTTGATTATGAGACACAACATTTTTTATTTTATTAAAAACTTACTAGAATTAGTAATTTATCATAGCTATTTTTGTGGTTTACAACTTTCTTTCCAATTTTAAATTTAAAATCAAAAAATAACAAAAAATAACTCAAAAACCGTGATAAATTATACTGTTTAAAAACTTAACATTATGATTAACTAATAAATCATTCACATATTATAAACTACATTTTTACATATTTTATTAAATTATCTTAGTTCGTAATACTAAAAGCTTGAAAATATACTGAGTGCTAACTAAGTCATTCATCCATCATGTTAAATTAATAAACACCCACAGTTTTCTTTAATAATGAATTTATTAATCTGATTTTAGACATTTTTTAAGTACCTGTCAATACTTAATAAGGTTAGCACATCCAATTCTTTAGATTTGTTTAGCGTTGAGCTGTAGTGTCTTGGGGTGATATAAATCAGTATAAAAACGTATTTTTCAAACAAAAACCAACCTTATTTTACTGTAAACCATTAATTAGATGAGTATTTTGAAAATGTTGATGTCAAAATGTATAATTTCTGATAACCTTAATATATTTGTTTAGTATAAAAAAGTAATATTCCTTAAAATCAGTTTTAAAAGTATAAAATAGATGTGATGTTGGATTCAATATTTATAATACTGGTATTTAACAAATTATACAATTTAGATAGACACAGATTAATATCAAAACAATTTATAATTATTGTAAGCTATTGATGTTTTATTCACTGTTTATTAAAAATAAAAAATTGTACGGAAAATGTTAGTCATTGCTGACCAAATATTATTATCTATGGGATATGTTTTATTGATTTTGTGTATATTAAAATATTATATGCTACATTTCTAAATAATGTATTTTTTTTTTATTATTATTAGCTTTAATCAAAAATTATTGAATGTATTTTACAAAGTGCTTTAATTAAAACGGAACGTTGAACAAATAACAATATTTAAGAAATCAATTTTACTTAATACCATGTGAACAACTCGGGCATTTTTCTATGGCGTATTGACATAATGGAAAATGTCTGTGAAAAGAATAACGTGAAAAATATCATCATAGAAAAGTACCATTTAATATTCTACTAAGTTACAATGCAGTCTGTTGACATAAGTTATGTGACAAATAACAAAAATATTTTAGTACCTATATATATTTTTTTTAATAATAATATCGTACGTGATACGTATATATGGTGCGAATGGAATGGTAATTCCATTRGTTTCCATTCAACTCTATTCAAAAGAAAATTGTATAAATGTAATATACTCCATTACTTTATATTTTATAATAATTTAAGTACCTATAAGTGGTGGATATTATAGGCAGCACATAATAAAACCTTTTAAACTGTTTACCGTATTATAGGGTATCTATTCATGTTTATTGGTTAATAAACATTATCAATCTAAAATTAGATCAAACAGTTTTCTTGTGTAAACAAAGTAGACAATGCAAATTTATTAATTATAAAATTATAATTGTACAAGCCATATTGAATATTATTTTCAAAATTCCTGGAAATCCTGGAATATTACTTCATCTATGCTTATGGTCTTGGGGTAATTATTATGTCTAAAATTTTCAGTTTATTCAAAATGAACATAATAAATAAAAGTATACAATATATACACTGAATACAGGTAGGTGTAATCGACAGATGTATAATAGCATAGCATTTATCACGTAGGAGGTACAGGTACGATTTTTTATTATATTGTTATTATAATTTAGGTACAAATATTTAGCCCGATTTTCATATTTTTTTCCGCCTGCAACGTTAAAATTATTATTACAGTTAAATGAACTACTATTTTCCTCTCGTGCCTATACGTATCAAAATACGCACGTGCTTGTAATAATTGAATATTTCTGATTTTACCTTGCGAGAAAGTAGTTTCACCCGTAAAAGGTTCATAACCTTACGCGATAAGAAGTGCAACAGCATTCGGATACTGCTGCTACTGCAGCAGTGTTATAGATACAGAAGGTCAATAATGTTTTGTTGTGGTCCGCACGCGACAGACGGCTAATGACGTTATGGTATTGTTTCGGTAACCGATTTTTATAACAGTGCGCGCGTAACCGATGTAAACACTGCAGTGGTCATACACAGACATACCTCACCGTGTCTGGAACGCGTTTGAAATTCCTTCTCTACGTCATTTTATTTTTTTATGCTTCTCTCTCGTCGAAACTATTATTATATTTTTTTCTCACATTCACGCAAGTCTTAAAAAAAAAAATTAATATAAAACTGTATACATTTTTTACGTCTCAATACATTCTAGAACTACGTAACACAATACTATCGTTCATCGAAATCCCTACTTACAAGTGTAGGTAGATAAATCGATATATGTATTATGGTGGTTTGTAGGCCATTCGAATTTCGCCGCGCGTTTATAGTTTTATAGGTAATTTTAATTTTTTTTTAATTTTATATTATTATTAAAAAYACAAAATATAATGTAAGTACATACTGTTATATTAAATATATGAGTAATACGAGTTTAGGTTATATTTTACTGCTAAATTTTCATGTCTCGTTGTTACACTAACTATATCATTAAATGCAGAGTTCAATAATATTCTCATCAAATTATGGAATAATATCATGTTTATCTACATCGAATAAGTTTGTATTTTAATCCAACCCAAACTACTTTGACATAAGATATTTCTGCTATATAGATACTCGTTCCTACCTATTTCATTATTATACAGAAATATTCTTTTGAACCGAAAGATTAAAAAAAGATCAACGAAATATTGTATTATAACAAATTTAAATTTAATTTCACTGTTTTTTCTTGAATTATTTTTCGGTTACTTCCTGAAAATCGTCTTTTATAGTGTCGTTTAATTTCAAAAATATGTCATATAACCGCTGGTTACCACACACTGCAATTGTTAGCGATAACCTGTATGTATAATAAATGTATAAAAATTAATTTTACCAACCTGCATAACCGTTTTAACGATCATCTCGATGACTCGATTATACCTATCACTCGACGATTTATTTCYTAACACAATAATATTCAACGTTGGATCATATTTTGCGATTATCGTTATCAATTACATCTGATCTTTTTTTTTTTTTTGTCATAAAAACTCTTTGATTGAAATGACAAGTTCTTCTGAGTCTATTTCGCAGTCAAATGACTTTCTCCAACATGATATTCCTTATATGCCTCCGTGTGGACCTGAGGGGTATTATACGGGTAGACTAAAATAACAGTAGCGGCGGTTAGAAAGTAACGCATGTTTATATTTTATATAGGTACCTTCAGCCAGCATGCACCATGAGGCATTTCAAAATGATGGAACACCGGGGGCGAACAGTTTTCACTTTCGCTTCCCGATTCCTAGACATGAATAAATCTATATGATACACCATACAAATTATAATATGCTCGTTGCTCGCACGTGTAGTTTTAATATTCCAAAAAAAAATATTTTTTATTGCCTACTCGAAAAAAGCAACCTATTTTATGCGTAGTTAACTTTTTTTCCTCTATAATATCATAATAATATACAATATACATTATATATTCTAAATAGATTCTGGGATATTTTTTTTAATACCTTCATTTTATATCGTAGAAATAAATAAGACTATATAGACAATAGACATATTTCAATCAATTTTGAGTAGAGATGTTAATACCCAGGTAAGACTTTTTAAAAATGAAATATATATGTGTAATTATTTAAAGTAAATGTTTAGCTATATTTCAATAAGCTCACATATTTTACTATTTTGATTTTTCGTTAAATCTAAYATTATATTCATAKTATTCAATTATATATGTAACAGTGTGTTATTTCCACCAAAAAATAGGTATTGAAATAGTTTAGTACTTYYCTACCGTGACCATGTAAATGTAATATTTTTCATAACTCATAATCATTGCAAATATATTTAATTAAGTACGTTTACCGTGAGTTACTAACACAAAATAGTTTTATGTTTCAGATACATTTTAAACGAAATGCGCATACGTATATACTTAAATAAATATTATATAAACTAATAAACTATTCAACTATTCGATAAAATTCCTTAAAAAAATTATATATTTCAATGCTATTTATTGAAGTAATTCAATTTCACTATATTAGTTATTACCCTCGTAAATCAATATCAAATTACTTTATAACCTCAGTGAGAATAAAACAACACCGGAGTAATAAAGAACGTACCTATACTTATATATTATAGTAGGT